ATTCATGGAACTGTTTTCGGCTACTGTACCCGTGCAGTCGGTCAAATCTTCTAAGTCCCATATCTCCCGAACGGCTGAACCGATTGAGTTGATTTTTTCATATGTTGGTACCTGAACTATGTATTTGGGGTACATCCAAACTTTGGGGAAAAACTGTTCCTTTTTAATTATGTTATGTGGTTATCTGAGGGGAGGGAATTTAGCAAATGTATATTGCATGGATTGGTTACTCTGCTAATTATGTGGGTGTCTCCCTTGCATGGGCACAATCTCATAAAAGCAGAGTGTGTGTCATTAAACCTCAGTTCTTCTTGACCCTTCAAAACGTAGCCTTGTCTCGTTCTTGAAAGGGGAATCTCTGCAGCTTAATCACTTAGCTCTTTTCAGAGCTGCACCTGGTTTCCACTCCTGATCCAGCAGAAGGGAATAGGCAACTCCATCACTACACAGCGACTGCCAGGAAGAAAAGGACGTCCCTAACGGCTGATACCCTCTCTACACCAGGGTAGTCGTTACACCCCCCTCTGTCTTTATTGTTTCCCCCCTCCTCCTTGCAGACCTTCTTTGCCCCCCCACCCCTCCCTCTCCCTCCCCCCACTCCCCCTCTCCTTACCTGTCTCGGCAGCCTCCTGTCCTGGAGCGTTGGCTCTTCATCTTTCCACTGCTGCTTCAGGCTTTGGGTGCAGTTGCCGGATCAGTCCAGCAGGTGGCGTCTGAAGCTCCTATTGCCATGGGAACTGCGCTGCAGGTGATGGACTCCTCTTTTCAAGCTGCTGTCTCTTCTATGGTGCCGCCAGCAGTTCCTGGGGTGCCGTGAGGTGAGTAATGTTTTCCTGGGGCGCCTGCACTAGGATGGTTCATGTTGGGTTTATTAAAAAAAAAAAAAAAAATAATAATAATTTTCTAAAACCTAAACACACAAAAAAATAATCAAAAAAAAATCAAAGAGTAACAGTCAGCCGCGCTCAGTGTAGTACCCTGCTGGCGCGACGGTGCGTCCACTGGTGGGTGGGGAGCAGTGCGCTCAGTCCTCAGTGCGACAATTGGAGGGGAGTTGGGCCTCCCTCCCCTTGGGCCTGGGTTGGTGGCGCTATGGAAAACATTTCGTCAGCGCATCGTGGTTTTGCCCTCTGTAGCGTGGGATCAGATGTACTTCAGCCCCTGGCTCTCCATCGTAACCCGATGTAAGTGGGGTGGGTCGTGCTGTTTTAAGCTCAAATGCTCCCATTGTGGTGCCTCCTGCTGTTTCAAGAGGGGTAAGTACGGGGAAAAAGAGGATGTGGGGGCGCAGGGCGGCGACGCCAGTGCTCGTAAGCGCGATTTGCCCATGGCTCGACCGCTACTGGAATCGGCAGGCCATGGGGCTCCTGCTGGAGGGGGTCACCCGAGGCTTCGGGATCCCCTTCTCGGAGCGCCTGGCTTCGGGGCGTTGCGGACCTTGAAGAAAAGGTTAAAAGAACTTTGCATGTATAGCTTGGTGAAAGTTGAGACAGGGGAGATATGATAGACAATTTACATACTTAAAGGGAATCATTGCAGTAGGGAGGAGACTATGTTTAAAAGAAGTAGAACTTCCGCAATAAGAATACATAGTCTTAAATTGGAGGGGCAAAGGTTTCACAATCATACCCGGATGTATTACGTTAACAGAAGGGTAGCGGATGCATGGACTAGCCTTCCAGCTGAAGTGGTAGAGGTTAACACGTAGAGGAGTCTAAGTGGGTGTGGGATATGCGTAAGGCTGTCCTACCTATAAGATAAGGCCAGGGACTAATGTCAGTGGTTAGAAATTGGACAGACTGGATGGGCCGAATGGTCCTTATCTGCTGTCACATTCTATGTTTATGTTTCTAAGTCTGTTCTCGACTTCCTGCAGATGGTGCTGGATGAGCTCCTACGGGAGGTAGCTTTGGGGTGGTTCGCGGGGTCAGTTGAGGCCCTGTCGCTCCCCAAGTTGCAGGTCCCCCTTGGGCCTGGTGCGCGGGCGATGGCCAGGGGTCTGAGGAGGATGCAGCTGTGAAAGCTGCAGTCCCTGTTAGGGAGGTTGACCTTCCACTGCCGGATCAGGCCCATGGGGAAATTGTCCCGCAGGCGCCTGCTGGTCGCTACTACCGGGACCGCGGCATTTTATCTGGCTCTGGAGGTCTGGGTTTCCGTCATGACTGAGTATATTGGAAGGTCATCTTGGCAGGCGCCGGAGGTGTCCAGTTCGGACTTGCCCCTCTATACGGAGGCGGCTGGCTCTGTCTGGTTGGGGCGATTCTGGGATCGCGCTAGTGTGCTGACATGGTCGGCAGCTTGACCAGGAATCTTGCCTTCCTGGAGCTTTCCCGTTGTGGTGGCATTGGATTTATGGGGTCGGGAGCTACAGGACAGTCGGTTGTTATTCACCGTGCCAACGGCTGTCCAGGCGATTAGCCAGCTTTCGGCCCCCCTTTTCTCTTTTGGTACTTCCCCTGCTCCAATGCCTGGTGCTCTGGTGCCCATGTCTTCATGTGTTGTGTAGGTCCGGTTCCTCTTGGGCCAAGGTACTACAGGGTATGGGTGGAATGGCAGGCGCGGGAGTCGTAGGTGGGTGTATTTGCGGGTTTGCCTGCCCGTTACAAGGTCTGTTGTGACTGCTGGAGCGTTGGGTTTCGGCCGATATGTCGCCCTCCGGGGTGTCCTTGCGCGTGTCCAGTTTAGTTTTCTGGTTAAGTCCCAGGGTTGGGTGGCAGTCACCACGGAGTTTCTAGTGTGGCATGCGGTGTAGGGCCCGTGCAGGGGTCGGTTTGTGTGGATCCAAAGAGGTCGGTTTTGGGGGCCCTATGGGCACAATTGTGCCAGGTGCTCCCAGAGGTATGCCTCTCTGTTTCTTCATTTCTTTGGGGCCATGAGGATTGGGGTATTGGTGGGTCCGAACTGGTCAGCCGGCGGGGGAGGATTCTGTTTGTGGATGTCCGGGATGGTCAGGACCTGGTGTCCTTCAAGACTCGTCCATACAAGACCGACATCCTTTGCAAGGGAAGGTGGGTCCTGCTGGCAGCGGTCCCAGGATTGGACGCCTGTCTGGTCTGGGCGCTCAGGGAGTCCGCGAAACGGCCGTACCTGGCTGGCCCGATCATGGTATACGAGGAGGAAACTTCCTCTCCCATTTTCAATTTGTTTGGCGGTCATTCTTTCCGCATTGGCGCTGCGACAGAGGCCTCTCGGCTGGGTATGCTGAATCGGGTTGTGCGGAGGATAGGAAGGTGGGACTCTAGGAGATTTGTTCCAGTGTGCGGGACGCTGGTTTGCTCCGTTGATTGTTTTTGTCTTCTCGGGGCGGATGATTGAGCACTCGACGGTGGAGGTTGGGCGGTTCAGGTTTTCATCAGGTTTTGAGAAGGAGGCGGCAGATATGTTGCGGCCGGATGGGGTTCATTTGACTGAGGTCGGCTCGAGCGTTTTAATCTGGCCATTCGAGAGACGGTGGAACAGGCCATGGTTGGTTTGTTTGGGGTCCCCCGCTGATTTTAGGCTTAAAACAGTGGGGTTGTGGCGGGGGTGTGTCCTTGCCAAATAAGGGATGGTTTGGTAGATTGGTTGGTGGGGAGCCCTGAAAAGGAAGATGTTTTTATTATGCCGAGGGGAGGAGGTGAGAGCCTTGGGGAAGTTAGATTGGCAAGGACGGTTTCTTTGGTTACTGTATGACTATATGCAAATTGTTTATGTTAATTTATGATATTTATTATTTCGTTATATGTTAAAGAAGTCATACAGTATTTGGTTGTGTTAATAAATGCTGTGGCCTGTTTTTCTCCAAGAAGTTGTCTGTCGTTATTTGAAGGGGTAAGTTATGGTTTTATGGGGGATGAAGGGAATGCTATCCAATGCCCACTACGTACATACAAGGCCCCAGGGAGAGTGCGCAGCTTAGCGGACAGGGGCACATGTATGAGTGTGGGATGGATGATGCATGATTGGCTATATGCTACATGTGGGAGTGTGAGATGTGAGGAAGTGGGTGGTGACAGATCAGACTGACCTCAGTGCCACTTAGGAGCCGGGCCAGCAACAAGTTTCCCACCCACCCTCCCTTTGCTGCTTTGGGCCCGGGGGTTGTCACAGCGAGGCGGGGGTGTGTCCTTGCCAAATAATGGATGGTTTGGTAGATTAGATGAAAAAGGGGGATAATGGCCGGGTCTCATCCTCCCCCTGTCTCTTATGGTGAACCTGGAGGAGGTACCAGGTTGGACGTGTCCCCACTGGGTTGTAAGTCGACCAGTGGGGAGCATTATGGTTGGGCCCCACCGAGTTGGTGGGGAGCCCTGAAAAGGAAGATGTTTTTATTATGCCGAGGGGGAGGTGAGAGCCTTGGGGAAGTTAGATTGGCATGACTATATGCAAATTGTTTATGTTAATTTATGATATTTATTATTTCGTTATATGTTAAAGGAGTCATACAGTATTTGGTTGTGTTAATAAATGCTGTGGCCTGTTTTTCTCCAAGAAGTTGTCTGTCGTTATTTGAAGGGGTAAGTTATGGTTTTATGGGGGATGAAGGGAATGCTATCCAACGCCCACTACGTACATACATGTTCCCCAAGGCTCCATACTCGGCCCCCTGCTATTCACATTATTAGATAAATGATCTGCCTAACGTCTGCAAATCCTGAACTGTACACACGTACGCAGACAACACTGTAATCTACGCTAGTAAACCCAAGCTACCGCAGCTTGAGGCTGTGCTCCAAAACCAATTCACAGAGGTAGAAAAGTGGATAGCGGTTAACAAATTCTTCCTAAACACTGACTAAACCATGTATGTACGTAGTGGGGAATCGCGATGCAGCCTAGAACAAATCTAGCCCCATTAAACCCCCCAATAACGACAAACAACTTAGTATGGATGAACAGGCCACAGCATTTATTATAACATAAATAAATTACTGCATAACACATCCATAACTTTTTATTAAATCTCTTCTTTCTGTAACGAAATAAATAATCATAAATTAACATATAAACATATTACTCAACACAGTGTTATGCAGTGACCCAACCGTCCTTGCCAATAAACATACAGTGGTTCCTAACCACCACTTCCTCTCACCTCCCCCCTCGTCATAAATCATCTCTTTCCAATGCCCGCCATCAGCCGACCTTATCCACGCTCGATGGGCACGACACCTCAGGCAACCTAATGTTAACCGTTTGAAGCAAGGGAGGTTGAGACCTGCAAACATAATGAACTTACTCCATCCTTAAACATAACCCCTCAAACTTAATTGGCAAGGACATACCCCCGCCACCAGACCCGGTGATTTACCCCTAAATCAGCGGGGAACCCCACCAAAACCCTCCATGGCCTGTTCCACCGCCTCCTGTAGGGCGAGATTAAAAATGTCGAGCGGATTCCTATGGCGGATCGGAATCCCCCGAACCCCCAAAACAAACTGGGAAATCCGCCTGTTAAACTTGCGCCTGCACCGTTCCACGGCACTCTGGCTCCTAGCGCCACGCCAATAGTTACGGGCAATGACTTCTGACCAGACCAAGCGCACGTTGGGGAATAGGACTAGAATGCGGGCTAAGTCCCGCTTCACCACCGAAATCAAATCCCAGATGGACACTGAACCCAAATCGTTCCCCCCTAAGTGGATCACCAGGACACTCGGTACCCCCAGTAGGTGAGAAAGCTGCACCAACTCAGGGAGGAGCCGAACCCACCGCATACCCCTCGCACCGAGCCATCGAACCTCTGCTACGGAAGGCGTGAAACCCAACCGCTCGCCTCCAGGTCGTTCCGCCGCACGCTGCCCAGCCCAGTAAACATAAGAGTGCCCGATGATCCAAATCCTGGGGGGAACCGAAACTGTGGAAAGAAATTACGACAGTAAACCCTCCGGCTGAACATAGGAAACATAACGTCTTGATTCCCACCTACCAATCCTCTGAACCACCTGCGCAGGCATGCCAAGCCTAGAGGCCTCAGTGGCCGCCCCAATACGGAACGAGTGGCCCCCGAACTCCTTGCCAACCAAACCCATGGCTTCCAGCCCCAAACGAAACACTCTAAAAAACTGAAAATGCAACAGGAAACTCCCATCCCTATGTACCAGGAGGGGCAGTGCAGTAGCAGGCCGCAAGGCGCAATATTCCCCAAAGGACCACACAGGACAAATGCCAGAACCAGGCACGGCCCCCAACCGGACCCACTTACCCCTCCCCAAGACATCCGTCTTAGTGCGGCGGATCCTGAACGAGATCCCATCCGCGGTGCACGTAACGTCCTCAAATAGCACACCCCCTACCCTGCCGATTGGGGCACACCAGCTCCCCAATCCGCATGGCACCAAAGAATGCCAGGGAAAAGGCCAGGCGAAAAAGCCAAACCTCGAAATCCGAATGGCAAATCCCGTGCAGCGCCTCACACAACGAGGTTAAGAGTGTGCCCGAGACAGGACGCCTCGAATCCCGTGTAGACACCCTACCTCGCCTCAAACCCTTCAGCACCTGGCGTACAAGAAACGCCTTGGTAGCGTCCTCCCAACCCTGCAGCTTAAACAGGAAGCTAAGCCCTGCCAGGCGCGCCGAAATGGCCGAGGGAGACAGCCCAATGGCCTCCCACTCCCCCAAGAGAAGCACCAGACCCTGCAGACGAGTGGCCGAATCCTGGAAGCCCCCTTTGGACCTCTCCCACCCGTCCCATTCCCCCCAAACCTTGTTATAGTGGTCCCATGTGGCAGCAGCAACCGACCTACGGACCAATTCCATTAATCTGTCAGGCCCAATGACCACATCTCTGTCGGACACAGGACACCCTCCAATTCGGCTTGCGGGGCCACTGCCCGAAACACATCCCACTGTGAACGAGAGAGAGAGCATCGGCCATCACATTACGAACACCCAGTATGTGTACAGCCCTACAATACACATTCAGCTCCAGACAGCGCAAAACTAGGCGCTGCAGAAAGCGAACCACGGGGGGGAGGAAGCCGACTGTTGGTTAATGGCCTGAACCACCCCCAAGTTATCGCAATGGAAAACCACCCGTCTGTCCCCTAGCAAGGAACCCCATACCTCCAACGCTACCAGAATAGGAAAGAGCTCCAGAAACGCCAAGTTCCGAGTGAGCCCTGCCGTGTGCCAGGACTCCGGCCACGAGTCAGCGCACCATTTGGAGCCCAGGATGGCCCCAAAACCGGCTGAGCCAGCCGCATCTGTAAACAGATGTAGGTCCGCATTAGAAACCTCTGGGGCCTGCCAGTACGACCTCCCATTATATGAGGCCAAAAAGGAATCCCAGACAGCCAAATCAGCCCGCAAGGGGCGCGTTAGCCGGATAAAGTGCTGTGGGCGAACGACCCCAGATGTCACCGCCGCCAAGCGCCTGTTAAAGATATGCCCCATGGGCAAAATCCTGCAATCGAAATTGAATTTTCCTAGCAGAGATTGCAGGCCACGCAGCTGGATCTTCCGCCGCCCTAGAGCCTGCGAAACCGCCAGGCTCAGGTCCAGGACCTTGTCCTGGGGTAACCGACATTCCCCGGCTACCGAATCGATTTCAATGCCCAGGAAACTAAGGCACGTGACCGGACCCACCGTCTTGTCATGAGCCAACGGAACACCAAACTGCTGAAACACCTCCCCGAGAACCCGCAACAAGAGGGCACAGACGTGCGACTCCGCCGGCCCTACGCACAAGAAGTCATCTAGGTAATGCAGAAGGGAAGAGACCCCCGCTTCCCTCCGCACCACCCAGTCTAGAAAGTGCTAAAGCACTCAAAATAGAAACATGACAGAGAGCAACCCATAGGTAGGCACATATCCACGAAGAGCTGGCCCTCAAAAGCACAGCCCAGTAAATGATGGCACTCCGGATGCACTGGAAGCAACCGAAAAGCAGATTCCACGTCCGCCTTTGCTAGCAGCGCCCCGGGGCCAGCAGCCCTCACCATGCGAACTGCAGCATCGAAAGGAGGCGTAGGAAACCCTGCAAAGCTCCGCCGAGATGTCATCATTCACCGAACCCCCCCGGGGGTAAGACAAATGGTGAATTAGTCGAAACTTACCGGGTTCCTTCTTAGGCACCACGCCCAAAGGAGAAACCCGCAAGTTAGGCATGGGTGGGAAGGAAAACGGGCCGGCCATCCGGCCCAAGGAGACCTCCTTCCCCAGTTTTTCCCGAACCACATGAGGAAATTCCCGCACGGACCTGAGGTTCCAAACAGAGTGCTGTGGAGGGCGCTCCGAAAAGGGGATCCAGAAACCCTGCTCAAACCCTTCCACTAGGATCCGTGCTGCCGCCCGGTTCCTATAAAGGTCGAGCCACGGGCGCATCACGTTTACGAGCACCGGTGTCATCGCCCTTAGCCCCCATGTCCCCTTTTTCGCCCGTTTTCCCACGCTTGAAATAGCGAGAGGCGGGATGAGCCCCGCTGCAGCTGGAGAACTCGTGCTTAAACCGGCACGAGGACCCCCACTTGCAGTGACTGTCGTTGAACTTCCAACAACAGCCTGTCCTTTGATTGGGGGCCGATGGGGCAAAGGAGCCCCCACCGGCCCCCCCTAAGAAAGGCCAAAACCGCGCCCTGCTGAGGGGCTGGACGAGTCATAATTGCGAGCCAGAGACCAATGTCCATCTGGTCCCAAGACAACGAAGGACGCACTGCCAGCCGCGGCTGGAACTGCTCGTAGTACCTCCACCACCCCAGCCCCCCATAGGTTCGACAGGCGTTCCAGATCGTGTCCTGATAACAGAACAACGCGGAACACTTCTGGGGAGCTTTCTCCCCTACCACGCTGGCCAGGATGGAGAACGCCCGAATCCAATTCCCAAACGTTTTGGGAATTTTCCGATAGCGGTATTTCTCCTTGTCTTTTTCAGACTCCTTTCTCCTTGTCTTTTTCTGTCGTAGGAGGAGCTTCCTCCAGCGGCAGGAGAGAAAATATCTCGACGAACTCACCCTTCCAAATTCCTGCTTTAAGTGCAGACCCAGAGGGCCAGACCAGCACATATAGGCTGCACCACGCGCCACGTCTGCCACGCCCGCCTCAGGGGGAGCGTCACCCACGGGCGCACAAACACCATCCCCCGTGGGTCCCAGGGGGAATCGGAACTGCGCGGGGGACCAAACAGATCGCAGCTGACTATCTACAGAGGTGTCCCCTTTTCCCGCCGCCCCCTGTTCCCATTGATCTAACAAACCTCAAAGACCCGAAAGAAACCCCCCCAACCCGAGACCCGAAGCGGCAATAGAGGAGGGAACATTGTACTCACCGGCGGCAGCTTGGCGATCCAAACCCTGCGCTGCATTCACAAAAGACTGAGGCACTGAAAATTGGGTTCCAGCATCCAGAGAAGAGATTAGCTGTGTTCCAGGCGCCACCTGCTGGCTGGATCCACGAACTGCAGCAGTATCCTGTGGAGAGAGCCGCGAAGAGGACGTGAGCCCATGCCCCAGAGGAGATGACCGAGGTAAGTGACCTGCAGGGGGGGGGGAGGGGGCCCAGGCAAGGTAAGAGGGGGGTGGAGAACAGAGGGGGCCCAGATAGAGAAGGGTAGCCACCAGGGGAGGGAGAGACAGACACGTGGGGGGGGCAGGGAAGGAAGAAGAAAGGGGGGTACCCACAGAATAGAGGGGGGGAGGGAGGGGGGAAGAGGAGGCCAGAGAAACATGAGGGGGACCCGGGGGCCCTCTCAGTGGGAAGTTGGGCCCCCCAGGGGACCCCCTCGCGGAACGCACATGGGAGGGGGAGGGGACAGGAGAGGGAGAATACCGGGAGCCTTCCTCACTGGCAGAGGAGGCTCCCGACCTACAAGGGGACCCCCCTGCACCCCCAGCCGCCACGGTACCCCGCGCGCCCCCACTCACCACCGGGGCCCCAGCGGCAGCCCCATGCCCCCGTCGGCCGCGGGGGGATCTGGGAAGTTGCCGGGCGGCCGCCCGCCGCCCAGATGTAGCTGCAGGCCTCCCACCGCCCCCGGACCGCGTTCCAATGCTGGCAGCCGGGGCGGGAGGCAGGGGAACCGGCCGGGCACGTGGAGCCCGCCGGGTAGGCCGCGCACCAGGCCTCTGGGCGCGCGGCAGATGAAGGCCTCACCTCAGGCCTTGAGGGGGCAGGCTGCACCACACGTGCAGCCGTGGAAGGCCGCAAATCTCGGCCACTGGACCCAGGCCGCGTGTCTGGAGCCCCAGACACGCGGTCCCGGTGATGCCTCGGGCCCGGGCTCCTGCTCCTCAACCGGGCCCGAGGGGTATTATCAGGAGAGAGCCTGGCAGGCGGACGGGAACGCCTGCCAGTGCTGGTGCGGCCCCCAGGGGCAGGGGCCGCATGGGAGGCAGCAGGGGAGACCGCAGGGGGTGCCCCAGGGGAGGGTATGCCACGGGGGTGCCCACACCGGCAGCCATACCTCCACTAATGCTCTGAAATTGCTCCCTTAGTTGCCGGCCACCATCCAGCGCAGCAGCAGCCCTGAGGGATGACAGGATCGCCTCGACATCCATCACCTCAAGCTGTGAAGACTAAAGGCCCAGGCAAACAGGAGCTGGAGGACAGGAAGCTGTTTGCTGGCCCGAATCCCAAGTGGCACTGAGGTAAGACCTCCCCCACGCTAACTTATATTGAACCTAACCCCTCCCACACACACACACATTACCCAAGTTACTCCCCTGCATCTATCCCCACACTCCTACATGTGCCCTTGTACGCTTGTACGCTTAGCTGCGCTATCTCCCCAGGGTCTTTACAATGATCTTTGGAACTGTACCTAAATTACATAAACTACAAAATCAACAATTGTGTGTCAGAACATATTCAAATAGCACACTGACAGTAGTCAGCTCTTTTAAATATCTAGGTATGTTGGTAGACCCCAATCTATCCTTTGGCCTTCACATTGAAAAACTCTCTTCAAAACTTTACCCAAAACTAGGTGCCTTGTACAGAAACAAATCCTGCCTAAGCCCTACAGTAAGGAAACAGATAGTGCAACAAATGCTAATGCCGGCCATTGATTATGGGGATGTAGTGTATGCACCCGCACCGCAAACCCACCTTAATAAACTTAATATGTTCTATTAGTTCACATATTATATAATTAGTTCACATATTATATACACACTCTTCATCTTTCCAGCCTTATGCATAAGAGCATTTCTGGGAAGCTTCCACCCTACCTGAGTAGAATGCTCTCCCCATTTGTTCCGACCTCCTATAACCTCCGACCCAGTACCAGCACGATATTTAGCATACCGCAATACAAAAATAAAGGGGCTCGATCCTCCTTTTCCTACAGAGCACCACAATTATGGAATAACCTCAGGGACACAGTCAAATCTTCATTCAATCTAATATCTTTTAAGAGATCTATGGCAACATACTTCAGCACAGAATGCACCTGTCATGGTTGAATATATTTATCACCTGTTATGTATTAAATTTATATAGGTGTGTATGTATATATATGTGGCAAAACTAGCCACTTAAGACTGTATTTGTATAAATGTGTTTCTATAAATTTAAGGTTGTTAG